TCAAGATCACCATAAAGAAATATCGTCTTCACATCCAACTGATCTAACTCCAGTACATATTGTGTCACCAAAGTTAGCAAAATCCGAATCGAAGAGTGCTTCACCACTGGAGAGAAAACCTTATTATAATCAATACTTTCCTCCTGTACATAGCCCTTCGCAACCAACCTAGCATTAAACCTCACTGGAGTGCCTTCAATGCCCTCCTTCTTCGTGTATACCCACTTGCAACCAATTATCTTTTGCCCCTTTGGAAGCTCAACAAGCTCTCATGTATCGTTCTTGTGAAGAGACTTCATCTCCTCCTGCATAGCCACCTACCATGAATCAACCTTCGAACTCTGCTCGGCCTCTCTGAATGTAGTAGGCACCAACTCATCAATACTCTCCACCGGAAGTGCATACGTAACTACTGTGTCGGTATACCATGTTGGCATTCGTATGTCTCTCCTCTGACTCCGAACCGTAATAGAATCCTGAACCTGAGCCATCGGTCCCTGATCCTGCACATTTGTACTCGTATCCTCCTCATCGTCGCCGTGCTCGCCTGACGTCATCTCAGTCGGCACTTTAATTGATACAATACTATCTGGATAATGTGAAGTTGTATCGATCTCCACCACCTATGAAATCTCCTCTGTCGGATCGCTCTCCACCTGATGAGAGCTGGGAAGCTTCAAGATAGAAGCATCATTAAACATGACGTCTTTACTCAGCACAATCTTCCTATCAACTGGTCTCATAGCTTGTATCTCTTGATACAATGCTTGAATCCTATAAATATGGGCTTCCTAGCTCGAGGTTCTAACTTATCAATCTTAACATGATAGTATGCAGGACACCCAAATAAGAGTTTATGTTGCGTTAAATAATATTACTTTTTTACTCCGTTTGTGTCATTTTTCACATGAATCTGAACTAAAGAACTATATTTTCCATTATCATATTGCCTTTAGATTATAATATTAATATTTAATTTTGATATGTTTATTTCATGAAGAATGGATATTACTCAATATTGGTATTACATCATCAGTGATTCTGTGACATTTATCACTTGGACATTCTTAGCAACATCGCTATCCACCTTCTTATTGTAGCCTTTGCAAGCTAGAACCACGACTCAACTATATTATAAATGGTAGTTATCTTTACATTATAGGTCCAACAGCGTGTCTGTATATTGGTAGAGTATTGTTAAATTTAATTGTGTACATTTTAGAGTAGGTCTTGTAAGAACATACCTCTTTAAATGTTGTGATGATTGCATATATCAATAGTTTAAATTTGTATTGTATTTGTAAAGAGCCTTGTTGGATATGCTTTTATTTTAGCAGCTTATTATGAATGAGTCATGCATATTAGTTTTAAAGTGTAATATTTTTTCTTTATTATATTATATGGATGTTTGCTTGGTTTACGTATCATTCTCTTATTTCTTCAATAAGTTGTATCTTTGGGTTGATATGTATTGTTAACATAATTTACGATGGCATGCATATTTCCCACACAAATTTGAGACAGATATAATGTAAATTTTTATATTTAGTGACTTTTAATAAAAAATTTAGAAGTAAAATATGTTACCTTCATATTTTAAAGATTTTAAAATCTGGCAATGCTATTACATGTTTATCTTTGATCATGTCTTTAAAAATTAATTATTCATTGGTAATCATATCCCTAAATAAAGTTACTTGTAGAGTCATGCCACTATATAGGGAAAAAAATTACTTACGCTATTGTAACTAAGTATCATGTGTATACCTTCTGTCCATTATAGTGATTTCCCATATCTTATCTGGCTTATTATATCTTGCAACATAGTTAATCAATGATTTCACTTTAGTTTCTATTGTAAGATTATTTATTTATATTAAGTTTATGATTCCTTTAGTATTTCAAGAATAAAGTATGAAAATTTATAAATTGCTTACTAATTTTTCTTGTATCTTTTATAGAAAATGCTTTTTTGATCGGGACAAAGTTGTTCAATATGTTCTTTAAGGGAAACTCAGTTGGTGCTTCTTTGCTAGATATAACGTTTGTCAATGTCAGTTCAAGTGATTCATGAATGTTTTTGAATTTTAAGTTTATTTCCTTCACTTCTCCATTTGAAATGAAAATAACTTGATTTTTTAAAGGATATCTATGAACTTTCTGATAATTTATCTATACATAAACTTATTACTCCATGTCATCTCCAAATGATCTATGATCACATATCATGCTCTTGAGCTATTGCAAAACATGTTTCCAGTTTTGACGCATCAAATTCTATAGTAAATTAAGCAGATAATTATATAATGAGAAGTTGATTGACAAGCTGTTGAAGCTGAGGTAGGCATGCGGTTTGAGGGAGGTATAACGGAGCTCCAAGAGGTTGTCCCGTTGGATCCAAAACAGCCCCAAAAATTATTAGAGAAAATTTTCAAAACAGCCCCAAAAAGTTTTTTATTTTTCAAAATCGACCCATATTTTTTTATTTATCAAAATCGATCCACTTTTTACCACGTGGGCTTAATGAAGTTCCTAAACAGTCGAGGTTGCCAACCCCGACTGTTTAGGATATGAAAATTTTAAATTTAAGGGTTCTAATTAGGGTTTAACAGCCTCCTAAACAGTCGGGGTTGCCAACCCCGATTGTTTAGGAACTTCATTAAGCTCACGTGACAAAAAGTGGGTCGATTTTGATAAATAAAAAAATGGGTCGATTTTAAAAAATAAAAATCTTTTTTGGGCTGTTTTGAAAATTTGTTCATATTATTAACATCAGAGATGAATGTTTATACATTGTAATCAATTAATGCTAACTTATTATATTATAGTCTTTTGTCAGTTTTATATAATTTAGTCTTCTATTAATTAATCAATTAATGCTAACTTATTATATTATAGTCTTTTGTCAGTTTTATATAATTTAGTCTTCTATTAATTAATGTTATTAGTAAAATTATATGCAGTTCAGTCTTTTGTCAGTTTTATATAATTTAGTCTTCTATTAATTAATGTTATTAGTAAAATTATATGCAGTTCATTAAATTTATATAGCAACATTAATTTTTAATCTATCATATATTTTTAAAATTTTTATTCCTTAACTGAATAGTTATAATTTATTGTAATTGCTATTTTTTACTAGTTACTTTTAGATACTGACAAAGGATGATAAACTTTAAATTGAAAGTTAAATTTATATTTCTTAATGAAAGAATATCAAACATTTGCACTTTTTTGCCAAATTTTAGCCTTTTTGTGATTTTAAACTTTTGAGGGTGTGTTTTGTAATTTTTAAACTTTGATAGCATTTTTTAAAAAATTTAAATTTTATGTTGGGTGCTTGTAATTTTCATATTTTGAGAGTTCAAATGTTAAGATGTTTCTTGCAACTCTGAAATTTTGAGGATTTTTTTACAATTACTAAAACATTGGGTTGTTTTTTGAAAATTTTAAATTTCTAGCAATCTGCTGATAACTTCCAGATGTGATGCCTACCAGTTATAACTTTTTAAATTTTAGGATATTTAGAGATTTTTAACTTTTGATGGAGTTTTCGTAATTTTTGTAACTTTAAGATATTTTTTACAAATTTTAAATTTTTAAGTGCCTAATGGTAATCCGTGGAATCCGTTTATGTTGTTTGCAAGTTTTAAAATCTTTAAATTTTAGGGTGCATTTTTATAATTTGAACTTTACGTGATTTATGTAACTTTGAATTTTTTTTACAAATTTTAAATTTTCAAGTGCCTAATGGTAATTTGTGGAATCCGTCTATGTTGTTTGTAAGTTTTAAAATCTCTGAATTTTAGGGTACGTTTTTATAAATTAAACTTTTGAGGTTGTTTTTGCAATTTCAAATTCCTCAGGGGGCTATTGTTAATTTTTAGATTTTATGTTTGTTGTTTTGACTTTTGAAAAGTCAGCGTGTTTTGGGTAATTCTAAACTTTTAAAGATATTTTGTGTAATTTTTAAAAAAAATTGGGTTTCTTTGTAATACTTCATGTATTATAATATGTTATCTATGTAGAATTTCTTAATCTTATGTGTTTAGATTGTTGAGTTATGGACGGTTCATGCGGAGTTAATATGGGATATAATTAGTATTTGGATATATTAACATTTAAATAAAATATTCAAAATAACGTTTCATGTAGTTTGTTAATCTTTTTTTTAAATTGTTGAGCTATTAGGTAGTTTACGTGGGATTAGATAAGATACAATTAGAATTAGAATAGATTAAGATTTAAATAAAATATTCAAAATAGTGAAGAGTAATATTAACCATGGAAAGATTTTTTCGAACTTGTGCTTTTAAAAGGAGTATGATATGATTATTCTTCAGTTTAACATGCATTTATAAATATAGATCATCTGGCAAAAATCTTTAACGAATAATCATGTTGTAACTGCCAAGGTCTTTCACATACCATAATTTATGAAAATTGCATATTTTTTTCCCTTTTTCTTTTCTTCTTCTTCTTCTTCTTCTTCTTCTTCTTTTGCCAGATTAGGCAACCTAATTCTTTAAGTTGTTTTTGGAAAGAACCCATCTTTAGATTTAACTTTAATTTTGTTAATTTTCTATAAAATTTTATGGATTTACTTCAGTAGAACATTTTCCCCATCTTTCTCCTTCAGTCTACATTTTTTTTTAATGTTCTCAAAGCCTATTATTTAAATAAGAAGAGGTTGGGGAAAATACAGAAGAGAGATGTAAGATCTGAAAAAACAAAGAGAAACAATGAGGTGCATTCATAAAGGTTATTATTGTAATTTACTCTATATGGTTAGGAGGCAACCACGCTCAGATAATTAAAAAAAAATAGGATGGAAGTACTCCACGGGTCCTTTTCGAAACCAACTTCAAAGAATTAGACGTCTTACTTAGAAATACCAAGATTTGCGGATCTAATATATCAAAATAAAGAAAATTTGGAGGTTCTATGTCATTAAACTCTTAACCTTAATTTCCCACTAATTTAAACTTAACACATGCATAAAGAAATGAAAACTGAAATGGTAGCTGCTAAGCTGAGGACATCCACATAAAGCGTAAGAACTATATATACATGAAACGGTAGCTCAAACTAAATTTGGAAAGCAGCATACGATAATCATTTGAGTTTGTTAGCAACACACAACACTGAACTACTGAAGAAAAACACCGAAGCAAATGATTGCTCCAATTATAACAAAGAAGGCCGCAGAAAGTACACGGTGAATAAGAGAGTACTTCTGACCAACGCTCCCCCTCGTAAGCAAATAGGTTATCATCACAACACTCTTAACTGTAACCACCAAGCTAAGAGTAGCTGCAATTTGGTAATACAGCTGAACCTTTGGGTCATGAGGCATGAAGGATAAAACTGTCAACGCTTTCATGGACATCATCATCATGAAGCACGCGAATAACAAGGGTCGGTTTTGCTTCCCATTATTAGGCCCTGATGCAACAACAAAAATGTGTTACAAAAATCAATTTTAATATATATGTATATCAAAATAGAATATGCCTCAACTTTCAATATATTGTTATCTTCTGCTAGCATATCTGGATCAATATATTATTGTGCTCTAATGTCTGCCATGTGTGCAATGAAGTTTATAATTCTAAGGAAGATAGAGTACAGAAGCAATGCAAAACTGTCCATGCACCTACATTCTTTCACATATATTTATGTGTCTTTACTTCATTTTATTATCTGATGAGGACTGTTATACTTCCTGTTTATTATGAATTGATCTTCTTTCAATGCTTCAAACTACCTCTTGAGCATCAGAAAGTGTAGGCATAAAGAGAGATTCATATATCCATCTTCTTTCTTGTTTTCATAGGAAAAATACCCAATGCTTGAAACCACCTCTTGAGTATCATAAATCATAGTTATAAAGAAATTTGCGTTTTTCTATATCTATCCAGTGAGAAGTGTAATTAAAAGTTCAGAAAAATCATTACTTTTAATGGTAAGAATATTTGGTATTTAAGCTGACTTAAGAGTGGTTGTAAGATTTATTGATCAAGGGCTTACCCTTGTATCTTTTACTAAGGAGTAATAGGGCTTGAAACACAAGAGTTTATTTTTCTGTTAGCGCTTACATTAGAACTTGCATCTTTAGGGCTGTCTGCACTCAAGTTTAGCAGGTTAGCATTGCCACTGAACATCCTAGCAAGTGCAGATGTCAATGCATCATTTACTACATTGTTGTTTATTGTTAATAAGAATATTTTGTGGGTGAATGCTAATTTTGGTTTAGGGGCTGTTTGGTTAATTTCCCATTTTTTTTAAAAAAAAGGAAAGCTGACAAAGAAACCACCTAAATTGGTCTCAAGTGATTTCCTTAAATCTATATCTATATCTATATCTATATCTATACTACTTATAAAAGAGAATACCCATGTCAAAACTTTTGATTTCCTTTTTTACCCTCTCAGCTTTTTATAACTTATAATTATACCATTATTTATAAAACTAATGATCCATAACCTTTCATTAACTATGCACCTCTTCATTTTCTCAAATTATTTGGTCATTCATTAGTATATAGTAATAATCTATAATCATAATAAAATTCATAAATATATTGCAATTTATTATAAAGAATTGTTAATTATATAAAATTTAAAATTATTTATTTAATAAATTATTGTACATATTAATAATGATTAATCTTATATTATAAAAGTGTAATGGGTGTTAAAACTTTTGCTAGAAATAACCTCGATAATAAATTCAATTGACAACAATAATATCAATAAGAATATGAAAAATGACATTTCGATGCATATAAGAAAAGTGGATAATGCATACGTGAATATCAAGTTTAATATTATCTCATATAATGCTAATGAAGAATTAATTCTCTCACATAATCTACTTCTTTATTACTAAAGAAGAACAATAAAAAAGCTAAAATGAATAGTAACCTAAGGTTATGAACAATTAAAATGAATAATCAACCCAACCCATGATCTCTCTCCAAAAATAACCAACCTTAACTCTCACGTATCTCTTCGATCAAAGCAACAGCGGAAACAGTAAAACAACTTCACTAACTTTTAAGAAACTAACCTCTCTTCCGCTAGCAACAGCTAGAAGACGATCCGCGCCCAAAATCCTCCGACGCGTAGCCCTCCGCTCCGCCCCACAGTCGCTTCCTTGCCTCGCCGCTGTCGCTAGGGAAGTGGCCGCCGCGCGGAGCCAGATCCAATTCTCACCCCTTCAATGGCTAATTAATGGCATCTGCCTCCGTCCCCATCAATCGTCGCCTCCAATCTCGCCCCTTCCTCGCCGAGGAACCACCCCCATCTCTCCGACCAGTAACCCTAATTCTCATGTCTGATCTTAACGAGCTCTAACCGTGTCTTCTTTTCCTCAAATCAAAACCCTAATTCCCATCTCTGATCTTTAACAAACCCTAACCCTAGCGTTATCTTCGCCCCACCCCCCCCCCCCGGTCTCCATCACCGTCCTGGGCCATATAGTTAAAGCCCTCTCCCTACTCCTTATTAAATTAAATAGTCAATAAATCAATATAACTTAATACTATTATTCATGCTTTCTTTCTTTTTTTGCTGCTCTTATTTGCTCTACCAATGCAACCACATTTCGGGAAATTTGGGTTTTGAGGATCAACTGTTATGCTTCGGCCATGATGGCAAGTGTGGTAAGCTTGGCAATGACGATGGAGTATGCAATCATCCAGTGAAGATGGTAGTGGTGGACTTAGCGATGGTGCAAACGGAAGCACGTGGGTCCTAAGCGGGTACAGTTCAGGTAGTACAGTGAGCGTCAATGCCCTGGCCGAGCATGAAGGTGGGGGAGGAACTTACAGCATAACCGAACTTTTAGGTAGAGGAGAGCTAACGATGATGTCGATGGAGCTAGGCACGACGGACGAACATATGGTGGTGTGGCTAGAGTGAGTTAACTTGATTGGCTTGGTTCTTATTTTGCTGGCTGTATATTGCCTAACTTATAAGGTTTAATTAATTCCATTTTGTGAGTTTCTTGTTTTTAAAGAGAGGTTTGTCAATAGTTGAAATGTTGTAATTGTTTGTCAATAGTTGAAATGTTGTCATTGTTCTTTCAAAAAAAAAAGAAGAAAGAAAGAAATATTGTAACTGTCTTCTTTCACTTTTTTCATGTGTGTTTATTCTGATAAGGATAGAATAATAACTTGGATGAAAATTAATGGATATGTATCCTGTGCTTGTGGATTTGCGTTACCATTGATTGTATTTAACTGTTGATTGTATTTAAAAGTTTATAAAATTAAAAAGTTGTTAAACCATTAATCTATTTGTTAATATTTTTAAACTTTAATATGGTAAAGTAAACTAACATTAAAATGATGAGAAATAAAATTAAAGTTGTAAAAATAATAATATGACTAAATTTACAACATATTGTTAAAAATAATTATGAATTAAAATAAAGTGTTCTCAAAATATATTTGTAAAAGTAGTAAAAAATAAAAAAAAAAATATTAGATATTTTATTAATTTTAAATTTTAAATTTTGTTTTTTTAACTTTTTACAGTATATTTTTAGTGCCTAACAAATATGTTGTATATTTATCAGTAATTTCCAACTATTGCTAATAATCGTATAATAAATAGTACAAATTAATAATAAGTTGTAAAAATAATTGGATTTTTAAAATTACTCACTTAAATCTTTCATATTAGTCCCTAAATATAATATATTTAAAACAAGAATTAGCCCCTTATACATTTTATATTTGGAAATTAGTCCCTTGAATCATGAAAATGGCTATCAAGTTGCTCAAATCTTAATTTATTTTGAAATTAGTACCTCAAATCATTAAAATTGCTATTAGGGCCCCAATTCTTCAGCTGATTTTGGAATTAGTCCTTCCAATCAAAGTATAAATAGCAATTGGAGGGATTAATTTAAAATATTTTATGAGAATTTGAGAACCTAATAGCAATTTCAATAATTTGGGGAACTAATTACCCTCTAAATGCTGCTTCCACGCTTTACATTAGGGAATAATTTCAAAATAACTTAAGAAAATAGGGGACCTAATTGTAATTTCAATAATTTGAGGGAGTAATTTAAATAACTTAAAATTTAATGGACCTGATAGCAATTTTAATGATTTGAGGGACTAATTTCAATATAAGAAACTTAAGGGACTGACATGGAAAAACCCAAAATAATAATATCATTAGTTGTGAAATTAAAATATTAATTTTTAATTACTGAATAATTCAATAATATCATTATTAATTTGTTATCATTACTAATAAATTAAAAACTAAAAAACTTGGTGAAGTGTGGTATTTATGATGGTGAAGCCATTGAAACTATATTATTTAGTAATATTCTAAATATAAATTAAAATTATTATTTATACAAACTTCTACATGTTTTTCCAACTTTTATATTGTACAATTTTGTCGATGCTTGGCTGTTAAAGTCAAACAATAATGGCTTGATCAACCACATCCATTCTAATTCACATATACAGCTTTATGAAAACTAAAGGTATATCATATAAAAGTCGCATAAAATCTTATTATATAAAAATTGTATAATTGATCCACATTTTATTTGATAACTTATGGCGATGTTGAAGTTCCCCGTCCACACCTTCCTCACAAACAAAATGAGCATTATGTACTTTAATAGGTTCGTTAGATTTTAAGAGTTATGGAATCTAGATCGCTATGGAAACTTCTATGGCTATCCTATCATACAAAACATAACAAAAAATGGTTTAGTTTAGAAAAGAATAAAAAATAGAAAATGTGGGAGAGGAAACATAATTTACTTTAGCTCCTATGTATGAAAACAAGTCCAAAGATTTTCTAAATAAAGAAACTAAAAGGTAATTTATTATCCTTAAAATTTAGGTAAAAGAACTAAAACTTGGATTGATATCCTCTCCAACTATGTGCTAATTGAAGATGGTAATTGAAGCATGTCCAATTATCCAACTATATCCCTTCGTTTCAATTTGCACGGTTGTGATAAAGTCATGTAAGATTCTAAATATTATTTTAAAACCACTATTGTCTTCAAAACTACTATCGTGAAAACTGGTATTGCAAGAGTGAAAATTCAACATGACTTCATTTCAACCATTTGAATTGAAATAGAAGGATAAGATTGAAGTGATTGAATATTCTCCAATTACCACAATTGGAGAGGATCCGAATCCGAAAAACTTAGGGTATACTTGGTAATTCAAAATTATAATCCACATGGGTTGAAATCCATTAGTAGATTATAGCATTAGTGGATTAAATCCTTTCTAACGTTTGGTAAAGAGGGTGATTTTATGATCCATGTGTTTTTTGTTAAAATGAGGGGGGATCCTTAAAAGTGGAAGGAGAAAAGAGTGACAAAATTAATCTAAAAAAGTAATGGTCATTTTTGTCATTTCTTGATCAAACATGTGTGATAATAAACAAAATATAACTTAGGAATCCTAGATTCTTTCTTGGTGGATTATAATCCAAAATACCAAACATGAAAAAGTGGGTTATAATGCACTTACCACCTTGCCAAACATGCCCTTAATCTTACGTCCAAAATTTTCTAATAAATAATTATGGTTTCAATAAAAACGTATTTTAGTGTAAACTATTTAAAATATTAATTTAAGTATAAGGTTTTAAATATAAAATTACCTAAAAAGATTAATTTTTTGGAAAATTAACTGAAATTGGCTAACGTCCATGCTAATATGCAAAAGAGAATATGTTGGATCCTTGATAAGGAAAATTAACTGAAATTGGCTAACGTCCATGCTAATATGCAAAAGAGAATATGTTGGATCCTTGATAAGTTCCAAAATAAGAGAGTGTAAAATAAAGAAAAAATTCGGTTGCTAAAGGTAGGCCAAAAATATCATTTAAAATAATGTGAACTTCACATATTTCACATTCTCATTTTTCAGTCGACGATTGAAGTCGAATTCAAGGATGACTCATTGGTTCACTAAATCTCTTATATTCCTTACACTTTTGTATTTACATGCTTTTATATTATACGTATATATTTAAAACTTCTTTAAAATACTTAACAGCTAATGTTAATTTTTCTTAATAAGTCTTAATTTTCAAAAACTAATGGATAATTATTTATTGATGACCACAAAAATATACATATATTCAAGCACAATTGTATCCATGCTCAACTTAAGATGTCAACAATTAACAATCAGACAATGTTCATCCATCCTGATTCACATGGGTTTACTAAATCATTTCTACTGTAATTTCACTTTTAAATTATGTAATATTATATGCAAACATTTAGAAAAAGTATTTTACTTTAAATATTTTATCTTTTGCACTTTTTTTGTCTATGAAACAAATCAAAAACCAAGAACCATTATGTTCACGTGCAAAGCACGTGCACTATACTAGTAAATAAATAAATAAAACCCTCTAAAATGAGTTTCCTAGAAATAGAGTCAAATCAACCAATGGGAACCTCACCCTCCCTCTTGATTTCAAAGTGTGAACTAAACTAAAGAAAAGGAAACTTAATAGGTAAGTTTCCTATAAGGTGGTTTCCTAATTTTTGGGGCACCAAATAGGCCCTTATACACATAAGGATCACCATCACTGAAATTTAATATGTAACACTATATATATATATATATCCATATGTACTACTGTTCATGTGCTCGCAACATGTCTATTAGTAACTACCAGACTTTGAGTTTCAGTTTCGAGAATATCCTTGTGCCCAATATTTTCAGTTAATAGTTGGATGCATCACACTGTTTTGGCGCATTTGAGAGCTGACGAATATTGTGTGGACGTGCACTTGAGATTGTTGTAGTAAACACTAAACACTAGCTTCAAGATATAGAAAAGCAGTCCACCACTTTGGGAATGTTATGAACATTAAGCTTTGAAAATATAGAAAACATGTTTTTTCGTTGCAAGTCTGCACATTCTTTGAGAATAATGGAAGCTGATTTGGTCTTTTTGTTGTTTTTTCAGGTAATTAAAGACCTCGCAAAGTTTGAATTGCTTCTTAAACTGAGAGGAAGCAAAATGCATTAGTCGCTATAAAAAGAAACTTGTACAAGGGCTACTTAAATATGACATTTTATGATGAGGAGATGTTAACTTTTGTAGGTCTATACCTGTTGGATACTTTGAATATTTGGTTTTGTTGAATTGTAATTTTATATGTAATGTTTGAAGCTTCTTCTTTATTTACTGTTATAAATTTATGTAGTAGATTAATATAATTGTATTGATGCATGATGCTGGCTAGTTTTATGGTGATTATTAGGTCAAAAGTACTAAAATCCTAGCATTTGAGGTTACAAGGCTTTTTATCTACTTGCTGAGTTAGTCGGATAGTTTGTTATGTTATTTGAAGCATCTATTTCCATGAATTTTAATGCATTACCAACGTAAATTGATTAGCTTGTTTTTAAATTGTCTTCGAACAACAACTTTAACTTAGAAATTAAATTCTACTAGTTTCAAACACGTCAATTGAGTATTTTTTTTTAATAGAAATGTGACGTTTCCCAAACAATGGATTTGGGATTGAGAGTTCTGGAATTGAAACATGAACGTTTCCCAAACAATGGATTTGGAATTGAAATTACGAATTTCAAATCCAGAATTGAATTCTGGAATTTGAAATCACTTCCTTGTATCCGAGCGCAACCCTAGTCAAGTACAAATTCTCATGAAGCTAGATCAACGAATATCTACATCTTACTAAAGGAATTAACAACAACAAATCACAAACTATCAAACAACATACTTATCGAATCTAATGTCAGCGAATAAGTTCTCATAAAAACGCTCTTTTCTTAAAAGCAAAAAGGGAATCTGACCTTCCATTTGACGCCGGCGGCGAAGGAGACGGCGTCTATGGCGACGTAGACCTCGGCGGTGGTGACGCCGGCGATGATTAGGGTTTGGGCTAGGGTTTTTAAGGGAAAACGAGCAGTGGGTTTTAGGGATTTGACGCAGAGGGGAAAGAGAGACGGTGGCGGCCGTTGGATTTAAATTTCCCAAAACCCAATTGAATTTGGGGCGTTTTCACTTAAACCCCTGGTAAGTTTTAGAAAGTTGTGAATACGCCTCAAGTTTGGATCACCCCACCCCCACCCCTACAAGAGACTTGGCTAATGTTGGGCTAATGTTGGGCCTGTACCAAGGGTCCGTTTGGTTAGAAATTTTTTCTCTTGAAAACCTGTCAAAGTGTCACTTCTTTGGCAGACTTTCAGCAAAATCGTCTTTAAAAGAGGCGATTTTACTTGAAAGCCTGCCAAAAAGTGATACTTTTGATACTTTTAGCAGGTTTTCAAGAGAGCATTTCCCTCAAAATCAGGAAACCAAACAGCCCCCAATGGACCATAACTCGACA